TTGCAGGTATGACATCTAGTGTAGAACTTAGTAATAAGCGGACTACTTAAATAGGCAACCAAAAGTTGTACGTGTGATTAGTATATACTCTCCAAATATGTATACGAGATGCTATAAATGCATATTGTAAAAAAGTTAACTATAACCGAATAAAAGGAGCTGGCCAAGAGGCCACCTTAACATCAAAAAAAAAAAAAAAAAAAAACAAATATTGTTTAAGCTTATTAAACTTCAGATTTGTGAAGTAAATTCTGAAATCTAAAAAATACTTTAACAAGTATATAATAATGTTTATAATGTTCAAAGAAAAAAATACTAGTGAAAGAAAGTTACTTATCAATAAAAAAAGTACTAGCAAAAGTTAATGTTTATAAAAAATGCTAGCATGAGTTAACTAACTATAATGTTTAAATTTTGTTCAACGTTAAGCTTTTTTTAAACACAACTTTGATAATTTTTTTTTTTTTTTAAAAAAGACAGCAATTATAAGAGAGTCTTTATCATTTTCGACAATACTTTCCTGACAAACAAAATCTTGACAAAAATTTATACCAACACTAATCCTAACCTAATATGGGTTAACTTGTCAGGTTTTGACATTGTCGAGAGAGTGGTTGTCAAAAGAATGATAGGGTCTGATAATAAATAGCATTATATTAAGAATCTTCGTTAGATAATGAAGATTCTTCACTTATTTCTAGCATAAAATTTGTCTTTTCTATCATTTCATTATTTCTATTACTATTAGTAGAATTAGAGATAAAAAATGAATCAAGATTAGTTTGCTATAATGAGCTATTTCTTGCAATTCTTGCTACTTGGCTAACTTTTGAAATCATCTTGATATACTCTGTTATATCACTATTCTGTTGTAAAAGATATTGAGTAATTAGATCCAATGCATCAAGTGTTTCTTTATGTATATAGTTATGCAATTCTATACTATCATCTGGTTCCTCCCTGCTTTCAGGTTTATTTGAATGTCTTGTAAGATTTATGATGTCTTGATCACTAAGAATTTCATTTTTATAAGTAATATTCTTATCTTAATAACCGATATAATCATCGATAACCATAGTATTTTGTAAGTAAAGGGCATTAATATTATTTTGTAGTTCACTTAAAATATTATTATTGTCAATATAAACCATAACATTATCATTAATTAAAGTAGTCTTGTTAGCAGTAATAGGAAGAATGTTAGTATAGTAAAAACAATTATTAATTGTTGTAGAGAAAATATCATTTCAAGCATTTATAATAAAATTTATAGCGGTAAAAATATTTAAGTTATTTTGGGTATCTACAGACTCATAACGGTCTAAGAGCCATCTAACAAATAGTGAATAGTAATAATGCTTGAACGATATTATAATTCCAGTATTCATTGACTGAATTTGAGAAGTTGTACCTGGAAGCAAAAAATGAATAGTTGTATTTTGAAGATTTACATTATCAATAACATGGCTTGGTGCATTATCTATTAGAAGAATTACTTTACGTCCTTCTATTCTTCTATCAAATGCTTTTAACCACTGTTGAAATACTATTCTTGTCATCTATGCTTTTTTATTTGTCTCATATATTATATCAAAACTCTGTTGATTGATATTTTTGAAACATCGTAGATTTAAATATCTTCCAATTACTAACAGTCACTTCCATCTGCATTTGCACATAATGCAATTGTTAACCTTTCTTTATTTTTTTTTTACCACTTAAACGAATTGTTGCCAAAGTAGTATCAGGCTCAAGCCTAATATTTAAACAAAAATAAACTAATATTAGCATATTATAGACTTAATTATTACTGTAATATTATATGGTGCATGTAGTCTAAAACCAACATCATGTGATCTTTTATAACTATATAAACTAAAAAAAGTTATAACTAATAA